GGTGCTATCTGATAGCCTGTTTTGTTGTCACAACGCTGGCAATCCCATTAAATCCCAGTAAATATAGGTCGGTATAATTTTGATCATTTCTTGAGTACCATTCATTGTTCAGATATTATAATTACTTTATTGTTGGTTATTTTGTTTCTTACCATTCCTGATGTTTCAGAAATGAATTCAATAAACATTCTTAAAGCTATTTTATTTGCCAAAAAAATTGAGCCTTAAGGAAAAAGGGGGTTGTTTTATATTTATGTCTTTATAACCTTATATTATGCACAATTCTGTTAATGATTTCCTTATGAGCTATAAAGTTTTAGTGGGAAAACATTTTGGCCTTTAAAGGTCCTCAGATTATGCTAGTTTTGTATGTTTATAAAGGAAAGAGGTCACTTGGGAAAATCTGGGCAAGACCAGGGCGAGGGGTGAGGAAACGTGGGAATGTATCCCAGACTTCCTCGTGGTCCCCGGGGACGTGACTTCACTGTTGCATTGTGGGAGATAGATCGGACCTAAGACTTTGAAAGAGTTCCTTGAAAAAGGCAGCAGGGCCTGGGGTTAATTCAGGGCAACAAGGACACACACCTAAAGGGAAAAACAAAGTGCCTTCTCTCTTAGTGTCATGCCTGTGGCTTGGGGTGAAGTTTCCATTGACAGAGTTGGGCAGATCCATAACGGGCCCTATTTTCCAGGACTTGGAGTAAACATGGTGTCTTCTGGCAACCGGGAGATGATCCAGGCACTTCTGGGGGATTCTGGGTGAGGCATGCAGGTAGGGCGGGTCCCAAGGAACAGTGGCTCGCTCTGCCACCCCAACTCTCCTGTACGCCCCCTGGAAGCCAGTTTATGGTGTTAGCACACTGATGTTTTTCCTACGTCAGTTATTTTGTTAGAGGTTTTTGAGTGGTAATTTTCTAACTCCCTAACCGCTAACGCTCTTTGAAGCTGAGTTCTTCTGTAAAGAATTTCCCCTCCTTCACTATTTGCTTACTTTTGAAAAACAGTTCATAAGGAAAAGGCAGAATAAATGCTTGCTTCTTTCTCTTTTTCTCTTTATTAATGTTTAAAGCTGGTACCCTGGCAGTCTCCAATGGTAGCCATTTTCAAGATATTATAAACTTGTCAGGGTTTGTTTGCTGGTTTGTTGAAACAGGGTCTCCCTGGGGAGTTCAGACTGGCCTTGAACTCACTGTGTAGCGTAGGCTGGTCTCAAACTCTTGATGGTCCTCCTGCTTCAGCCTCCAGAGTGCTGGCATTACAGGTGTGCACCACCACGGCTGGCTGAACTTACGGGTTTTTAAAGTACCTTTGACTTGTGTCAGTCCATTCGGTTGTTATTCTTACTGAGACCCACATCAGTACATCATGAGCCATGGGAACCTCTGCACATTGGCCTTTGCATGCTTCGTGTGTAAGTCCTACTTATCGATCACTTATTTGCTGACTGGTGTGTGTGTTGTGTATCTGTTCTGCCTCTGGAATCTGTCACTTGTCCCAGGAGCTGCAGCTCTCAGGAGTGGGTGTATGTAGGGACATCTCCAGCACCTGAGATGCTCAATTTTGTCATGTTGTCTTTGCTTCCAGGACTTTCCGCAAGGAAAGGGGTATTTTGTTTTTTAGACAGAAAACTCCACACATTTCTACTGGTGTTTCCAGTTCAGATATAAGATTACAGGGGTCTTACTAAACTGGCTTTGCATTTATACTTGTATTTTCTCCTACACTGAAAATCTTGGTTTTTAATAACTTGATCCTGATAACACACTCCTTTTACCCTGTAGTGTACCTCGAACTGCAGAGAGTCAGTAGCAGTCCCACCAACAGGACAGCTGCTACATGCAGGCTGAACACTGCCTTTTCCTGTTGAGCGGCTCCTGCTGGGGATTTACTCGTATAATCAGCGTACTGTGTGTGAACGCCACTGAGAGGCGCGCTCTCCTTTGTGACCATGTCGCCAACCGTATACCAAACCGGGTCCATTTGTTTCAATTTGCATTCCAATGTTAGTCTTACTTTTTTTCCTTTCTAGTTACATAAAACAGAGCATTCCAAAATTAAAACTTATGTAAAAGCAGCTGCGTTTACAGAAATCTCACTTTTATCCTTGGTGCACTCATCCCGTTTCCTTCCTCCCCCATGGATAACTGCTCTTAGTTTTTAGTATCTCCTTCCACTTTAAACAAATTTAAGCAAATATGCGCAGGGACATTCGCGTACTTGAGACTCGTATTTGCATCTTGCTTTTTAACTTCCCTCTGTGAACGAGCAGTCCCTGACACAGGCCGTGTCCGACTCTGCAGCATGGCCCCTGCCATGACCAGACGCTCTTAGTGACCCAGGAGGGCTGGGTCACTAAGCACCTCCACTGCAAGCTCCCCAGCTGCGCCACAGCAGGTGACTCATTCAGCAGAGGTCCTTCCACGCCACGGAACACTGAGCAAGTAGGAGAAACAAACTCAATGCGCGACGCCCCAGATCTGAAGGGGATTATTCTCAGGCTAGAAGCCAGTCTCTAGGGCTTGTGTGCTGCAGGACCCCACTTCTACAACATTCCTGAAATGACAGAATCGTGGAGATGGACTACAGTCCCCCGTCGCCAGAGGTCAGGATGCTAGGGAAGCGAGGGGGTGGCTGGCTGTGGCACGCAGGGCCCTGTGGCTCTGTGGAGCTCTCCTGTCTTTGCTGTAGACCAGGTCGCCCACATCTACACATGCAGTAAATACACACACGCACACGTGTGCGCACACACACACACGCACGCACGCACACACGCATGGCTTGTCGTAGAAAACCTGGAGGCATTTGGACACTCACAAGGAACTGTACCCGAGCCAGGTTCCCAGCAGCGGCACTGTTGTGATGTTAGGTCGGAGGGTCCCCCTGGTGGAGGGTGAAGGCAGCGACACTGAGGAGTTGTGCTAGTGGAACAAAGTGTTTTTTTCTGACTTAATACACCACAGGTGACTCGAAGTCTGTGTAGTAAACGAGCGCGCTTCATTCTGAGTGGGCTTCAATCTCGCCTGGCGCCGGGGTGGGTCACCTTCCCCTGGGGCGTGGTCAGCAAGTGTGTGTGTAGGCGGCTTCTTTGGAAAGCCAGGAGGTTGCCGCGTGGCCCTGCACCTTGTCCCCTCGTCCCCTACCTCCCCCAGGGTCCGGGCCTGCAGTGGGTCTGTCCTTGTTCGTTGGTGGTCCCGGCGCCAGCCATATCTGGAGCATCCTGGCTGCATGCGTGGAAGGCAAGCCCGTCGGTGTGTCTACAAAGACTGCTGCCGCCACCTCCCCGGCAGGAGGAGGAAAGCGTGCGGGAGGTTAATAGTGAATAATTGAACACTAGAATAAAAATTACCTAAGTGATGAGAAGTGGTGGAGTGAAAGGAAGACAAGAGAAGCGCTCTGAAGACATTAAAATCCTCTTGTGGCTTTAAGATGGGGCCGGAGGAGGCTTGGGGAGGAGCCTCTGCCCACTCAGGACCCCATCCTGGCCCCTCCATGGTGGCCTGAAAGAAAGGCCAAGTGCAGGCACACAGGGCCCGGGCAGAGTCGGGGATAGCGGGCACTGGGCGAATTGCTAGGCTGCCTGGGTGTTTTGTAGGTATCTGTTAAAGTGGGCAAAGGAAACTCTTGGGGCTCCGTTGCAGGTGTAGGAACCAACATGTACCTGAGCATCTGCCGTGAGCTGGAGAGCTGAGAACACCATGGGACATCTGTGCCCTAGCCCTGCGCATCTGTCCTTGTCGAGTTGGCGTGTCCAACCTATGACCTGTTGCTTTGTTTCAGTTTTTGTTTTGTTTTGTTTTTCACTACTGGGAACTAAGCCCCGGGCCTGTGCAGTGAGCAGCATCGCAGAGTTGCCCAGGTTGACATTGAATTTGGTGGTCCTCCTGCCTCAGCCTCTTAGAGTGGTAGGATTATGGATGTGTGCTGGGATGCCCTTGTCTTTAAAAAGTTATCATAAACATATTTTAAAAGGAAGTTTTGTCACTCATGTATATTAACTGTATTACATATTTTACATGTGGTCCAAGACAATTCCTCTTCACTCAGGTGAGAGCCGCTCCTCAACACACACAAAAAACAGTGGGCCACAGCACAGGTTGGACATGCCTAGGATGGATTTGTAACCTGAAAGAGTTAAAAGAGTCGCTATATTAAGAGGAAACTGCATGTTATGGCTTGGGTCTGGATGTCCCCACAAAGCCTCACGCAGTCATGGGGCAGGCTTCTAGACTTTGTGATTGACTTATGGTCCAGTGCTGGGATATGGGTGTGAGTGCCGCACCCACCCTGGGAAAGAGGCTTGCTCTCTCCCTCCTCGCCCTTTCGCTCCCTTCTTGCTCTTGTTGCTTTTGTAACTTCCTCCGCGATGAACTGTTCCTCCTTTGTCCTGCCACCCTGCCTTGGAGCCAGCTGATTATGGACTGAAACCTCCACAAACTGTGAGCTAAATAAACCTTTCCTTCCTTAGTTTTAGGTGTCAGATATTTTGTCTCAGCAACAAAAGAAAAGTAGCTAAGACCCCTGCCGGTCTCATGGTGTGAACCTTTTTCTAAAATGTAAACGGGTGCCACAGGAGCACTTACCCGGCACGTGAAAGGCCCTGGGGTCAGTGGGCAGCACTGTGAGACATAAAGCAACCCTCTCCCACGTGGAGAGCAGTGGGCACCCTGCACCCCGTGTGGGTCCCGGTGTAGTGCATGGACCCAGAAGGCGTTGCAAGGGTGCACATCCAACTTTGCCATTGCTCGACTCCTCTAGCCTGGCCAATGGCAGCAGAGGAGTAATTTATGGAATACTCTTGTTACTTCCAATACTCTTGGTTCATTTGTCTTGCGGCATAGCTTTCATTTTACTTTCCCTATCTCCTTTTGATAACGTTAATTTTTATATTTTGATTGTTTTCTTGATTTTCCTCATGCAAGTGTGCTGGAGTCTCTGGAACAGGTACTTTCTCTATCATTCCTCCTCTTTTTGATTAACATGACTGTTCAATTTTTCTCTAGCTTGAGGATGATATCATTGTCAAACAGAATTATTTTAATACTATCAAAAATTTTGCCCTGCAACTTTCTTCTGAGGAATGGATGATTCTGGAGTTTTCCCAGCTGGGCTTCATTGGTAAGTAAAGCTTCAGATTTGTGCACTTTTCAAAAATAACTGACTCTCAGGATCCTAAACCGTTTACTTTTTTCATTATTAGTCATGTTTTTCCTGTGGAAGCGGATTGTTCTTGACAAAAGTGAACTTAGGTAGAGCTCTTTGTGTGGAGCGGTGGACATCAGTCAGGAGACATCTCGGTGGCCTCAGTGTGGGATTCCTCTGGAGATCCGTAGCCCACCTGGGGCCCGGGAGGAAGTCCAGTTTCTTCTGACTGCAGCAATTCCTGTGTTACCCAGGGCGGGGGTTCTTTTAGGAAAAGCACCGCAGAAAGATTTCTCACATGAATCCCCATTATTCTCAGGCAGGGCCTGAACTTCTCATTCTTTGATTTTTTTTTTTTTTTTGTTCACCTCTTTCTTTTATTAACTACTAGTTGGAGTGCTCATTTAAAAATCTTTTGGGGGGGCTGATGTTCCTCAATTAGCCAGTGGAAAAGAATTGACAAATTTACCAATTAAAAAAAACCACTCAGGATGATATATTTCTTCCCATGGTACTTTTAAAAATGTTGCTGGGTGTTTTGTTGCATACCCGTAATCAGAACTTGGGAAGCCGGGGCAGGAGGATCATAGTGAGTTCAAGGCCAGACTGAATACACAGTGAGACACTGTCTCAAAAAAACAAAAAAGAAAAAGTTAAATATTAGAGGCTGACTCTTATTGAACTCAAAACTTACTTTAAGTCAGGTGTGTAGTATACACGATTAACCCCAGCACTCTGGGAGGCTGAGGCAGGAGGATCCCAAGTACAAGCCTCTACCTGGGCCATTTGTTGAGACCTTACCTCTAAATAAAAAACAAAATATTCTGGGGATGCAGGTCAGTGTGGTGGCCCTAGGTCCAATCTCCAGTACCACAAAAAACAAAACAAAACGAAACAAAAACTCATTTTAAAATTTTAAAAACATTTTTACTTGTGAAATTTCTTTTTTTTTTTTTTTTGGTGTTTGGTTTTTGGTTTTTCTCCGGTACCAGGAACCGAACTCACGACCTTGCACTTGCCAGGCAGGCGCTTTGCCGCTGAGCTAAATCCCCAGCCCCTGTGAAATTTCAATGGAAGGAAATTTGGGAGATTTTGCACTTACTGGTTTATACATTGTGTTTGTTGAGAGGATCTAGATATCTATATGTGCCTGTCATGTTCCTTTTTTTAAATGAGAAGCATTTTAGTAAGACATGCGAGAAAAATCTGACTGGGCCTATGAGTCCCATGAGCCCACAGTGCACAATAGACCCTTTTGTGTCCACGTGAGGCCTTTGCCTGTGCATCTCCCTCCAGCAAGTGAATGTTTGGCCAAGCAGATCTGCCTGTTACTCGTGAGGATTTCGTGTTGAAAGTGCAATTGAGGCATGGCCTTCACTTACTTAAGCCATTTTGATGACTGGCTTCTTCGTTATTCCAGCTCTTAACTGTGAATATCCTTCCAGGTAAAATGTTCCAGGCGCCAGACCTCACTTTGATCGTGGAGTTCATATTTATGTTCTATAAGGAGAAGCCCATTGACTGGCTCCTGGACCACATCCTCTGGGTGAAAGTCTGCAACCCTGAGAAAGACGCAGTAAGTTCATTCCTTCCTCATGGGATACAGGGGGTGTCTCCCCTCTGTCTCACTTAGAAAAGTAGCTTTTCTACAGCCACCTTTTGCCCACAGACACTTAGTGAAGGTAGCTAGGAGGAAATGGCTTTCCATTTGCCGCTTAAGTGCTCATCGTCTCCTTGAGTGGCTACAGGAGCCGTGTCCTGCGGGGCGTTTCAGTATTTTGCAAATATTTGCAGAAAATATTAGGCTCTAACCCATCTAGGAATAGGGAAAAAGATGGAAGTACCATTGTATATCTGAATGGCGACAAAAAGTTAAAGTCTGTCTCGTGTATTATTTTCAAGAAATGTAGCTATTTGGTAGCCCTCAGGCAGAAATGGCAAGTAAGCAAGAGAATGGTTTTTGCCTTGATCATTTACACAGCAGATTATTTCCAAACAAATCTTAACGTAATTAGATATATTTCCTTGTTCAATTTGAATTGTACTGGGGGGAAAATACAACTTTTTATTTATTTGGTGTGAACGTAAGATATATATGTGTGAATTCTTAATGTGTCAATTTTAACACAAAGTAATGAATAAACATTTAAGCATACGGGTTTAAGTATTATAGGGTTAAGTGATCGTTCATTGTAATAAGCATTTACATAATTTGACTTCCCGATTTTATTATATTTTCTAGAATGGTACGGTTGTGCTATCTGCCAGTGAGATTTCAGATTCCCCCTCATAGAGCCTGTGAGCTCTCATTACATTCTTTGTTTAAAGATGGCAGTCAAAAACCCCAAACAATACATTCTTAAAGCAATCAGGGAAAATGGCAAAATAGAATATGTGCGTAGTTTCCAACAGTACTTGACCATATAAATTAATTTGAACAAATAATTTCAAGCTCTAAACCCTTACATGTGTTTTCTTGGAGACTTGCAGGAATTTTTACTGTAGGACACAAAAAAGTTTCTATCATCTTTAGTCTCCTGATGCCTACACTTCCTTATAATTCATCCTGTGTGGTTTTATCTGTTATGTGGTAAGACTGTGAAATGATCTTGTGTGATACAAAACTCTGGTAGTGAAAATTAAATCAGCAAAAGCCTTTTAAAATCATCCGTGGACCTGAGTGCACAACCATTTGGGCAGTTCCTGTGTTCCTTCACTCTTCCTCAGTCTGTGATTTTTGTGGCCCTGGGTTCTTCGTTTGCTTCCTTTGAGCTGTTAAGGAGGTAGCCACCAATCCTTGCCTGCCAGCTGAATAGTCTGTCTTTGACAGTGGTGTGGGAAACTCTTCAGGTTATCCACAGATTTTCCCAAGCTGCACCACCCTTTCTGGGCCCCTCAGGCCTGGATGCCACGTTGCCTCTGCAGTGATGGACTTGGGCCCAGACTCTGATGTCACTTCCTGTAAACCCTCTCCATTTCTGGTTTCCCTCCCCCCCTCAGACTCACCTTCCTCTTCCCTCTCTCTCCTTTTCCTCCCCTGCTTCTGTTTGTGTAAACAAAATGCACTGTTTCACCTCTGTACTGATGATTAAATGCTGATGACATATCCCATAAGAATTAGACATTTTAGCATCCAATTATTGGAAGTCTTTCAAAGGGGAAATACCTTAAAACTATGTCTTTTTCACTTTTGGGCCCCAAATTTACATAAGCCATGGAAAATAAAGAGTTTGAAAAGTGTGTGAAGCTAGCCCTGGCTATCCTGAAGCATGACTGGGCACCTGTACAGTATGGGCCAGCATGTCTAAGCCTCGAGTACCAGGGGTGGGAACATAGTGTGATTGGCTAGAGTGTGATTGGCTAGAGTGTGACTGCCTAGAGTGTGATTGGCTAGAGTGTGACTGCCTAG